TCAGTATGTAAGTGTATGTAACATGTACGTTAACTGATACATGAACATTTTTTTAAAATAGCGCGCGCAACAAAAGAGAAAATAAATTCTATTGTTTTTTAGAAAAGGAAAAGGGAACGGGAACATAGGTAAATACTATAATACGCACGGAGGGGTTTAGGGGGCAGTTCTTCTATCTTCACAACATAGTTGTGGCTAGTTGTTCTTGTGTGTGTAGTCCTCCATACAAGGAGCAACACATTCTTGTGGAATCCGTTCAAAAACAATTTTAAATATTCGCCCTTACAAATATGAACTGGGCCTCTGACAGACTCTTACCACCATACCGATCTTGGCTAAAACTAGTGGACCTCTTTACACCATCGCTTTTGGGACAGATAGATTGTACACTTCCCTCCAGACCAGGGCTCGGCATGGCCTTATCTATTATCAATGTGCATATGACAAGGCTCTGCCGAGACGATTCAGCTCTGTCAGCTTTTGTCAGCCATCAAATGAACGAATTCTGTAAAAACAATCGAAATATTCAGTTTAAACTTTATTGCTGCCGTAATTGTTTACGAATATAATTTTTATAGGTACACTGACCTTTTCTTTTGTGGAAGTAACGCTCTCAGCCGGCATAAAATTCAAATTTTTCATTTTATTTCAGTATAAAAAATAGTCTCCACCTCCAGAGGCAACGTAAACTTCTCCATACAGTGAACATCACTTGTGGGTGGCTTATAACTGCTATAGAATAACTTAATATAATCTTAATATAATATTTTTGATATTGTGATGTGGTTGTACTTCATGTTGGCCGCGGTGCAGTGGCTTTTCCTTTGTATATACTCATTTAAATCCTATCACAAACGCAGTCTTTGGTGTTGCTCCTCCTGGCTCGAGTGCCAGTCAGTCGAGTGCCTCAAACTCATCGGGATAGGCGGCCTTCAGCTCCGACTGCGTGGAGACTGGTATGGCGGAGGATTTGGCCTTTAAGCGTAAATTGGCATCATTTGTGAGCAGTATCATGTGCGGCACTTCCTTTTGCAGCTGCAGGCAGCAGTTGACGATGCTGTCATCGCCACAATCCACTTCAATGAGGTGTTCCGACTCCTCCAAGGCTGATTGGGCTGTTGAATAAAGAAATTACTCGTATAATAGCCTGCAGAAAGGGATTTTTAATGCACTCCCACCTTGAATTTCCAAACTCTCATCGAATTTGGTGTTCAAAAAGCGAATGGCACGCATCGCCAGCTCACGCCTCATATTGTCAGCGTTCTGCCGCACCTTGAGTCTGTCCAGCTCCTTGATGACAATGTAGGGTATAAACAGCATGCTGCCCACGGTGGGTGGCAGCACAACTCTCGTGAGATTCTCCACAAATAAGCGGTTGTGCATGAGCACATTCGTGTCGAGGATAAAATACATGTGCTCCAAGCGACGTGCGGGCAGTTCAAGCAGCTCCCCGTCCAACGATTTACGGTTGAGTATAACCAAATCGCAGTCTTCCCAATCCATCGGCTCGGGCTCCGAGTCTGGCTGTGGCTCTGCTACCTTTGGCACCTTTTTGTCTATAAATGCATTTGGAATTCCTGTCAGTATTGGGTTACAGTCGTTGTTGTTCAGCTCCTTGCTCTCCTGCTTCGCCTGTTGCCCTAAGGAGGCTCGCAATTGCGCTAGACGCTGATTGGCTGCAAAGAAAGAAAGGCTGCTTGAGAAGATCGGATAGAAATCATTCTTGTGGCGCTTACCACTTGTCGAGCCGCCCAATTGCAGACGATTGCTGGAGTCCAGCAGCGCCTTGGGCTTCTCCCAGGTCCTCGCCTGATCCCTGAGACGCTCACGTATAGAACTTGCAGGCGTCAATAGAGACAACGATGACGAAGGCAATGTCGAGGGTGTAAATCCATTTGATCTGCGACTGTGCGAGGTGCTGCGCGGCGTGTCTGGCGTCAACGGCGATGGCGACGCTGCCAAGTCATTTGATCTGCGACTATGCGAGGTGCGCGGCGTTTCGGGAGAATACTTGCTACCCGAGGAGCGTGATGTCTCGGGTGTCAGCGATGGTGCGAGGTTCAGGCTCCTGCGACTGTGTGAGGCGCCTGAAGTGGAAGCGACGCTGCCTGACGAGGAGGCCCCATTGTGACTGCTCCTCCTACTCTCCGGCTTGTCCTTGTTCGGTTTCTTGTCCTGCTGACGCTTTAAGTTTGTCTGCAAGCGCTTGAGACGACTCTGAGCAGGCTGTTTGCTGCTAGACGTTGCTGCAAATCGAATTATTACACGGCGAAGGTGACAAAATAATCAATTTACGACTTACCCTGTGCTTGGCGATGATTATAAATCAGTTGCGAGGCTGCGTCCTCGGTCAGGAGTTTCTTGCATTCTAATTTGCTGCCATTTTTGCCCGTGCCATAGCCAGACATTCTGTTTTTTTCCACATTTAATAATTTTTTGTTGTTGCGAAGTTGGGCTGGATTAGAGCTGAGCAAAACATCGATTGTGGACAGCACTCGATAGTCAGCCCCAAATACATCACATCGATAGTACTTGCGATTTTTTTGCAGCCTCTAGCTCCTTGTATTGTGCGTTTTCCATAGGAATTAGCGTTTTTCATAAATAATTAGCAAACAAGTAGAGTCCTCGGAGTTAGCCAACATGGGGAGCGCACTAGAAAACTTTGTGAATCAAGTGCGCACGATGAGCGCGTCTGGTAAGTGCTTGCGGGCAAACAGCCGGGTGGGCCGGGTGTTCCGGCAAGTGGCGAATTTCGGCCTCCGCCTCCGCTTGGTTGTATCGATGCGTCTTATTCATGCATGATTATGTTCTTTTTGGATTACAGGCAGCTTCAGGGAGCTAGCCGACGATCTGCCCGAGTCTGTATCACTGCTGGCACGCAACTGGAGCATACTGGACAATGTGCTGGAAACGCTCGACGTGCAACAGCATACGCTGGGCGTGCTCTATGTGCTGCTGGCAAAGCTGCACAGTGCGGCAACCGCCAATCCGGAGCCCGTGCAAATCATTCAGCTGATGCGTGACTTTGTGCAGCGCAACAATGTGGAGCAGCTGCGTTTCGCCATATGCGCCTGTGGGTAGAATTTTACCTGCGGGCAACTGAATCAAGACTAAAACTCGATAATTTGTCTCTCTCTCTCTCTCTCTCCACAGTCTACGAAACTTGTCACTTGTTTACGGACTATCTGGTGCAAAAGAACCTTAGCATTTTGGGCATTAAAATCATGGCGCGTGCCGTTGATCAAATACGCCAAATGGACACACAGCTAACGCCCATCCATGCCGATCTCTGCCTGCTGAGCCTCAAGGCGAAAAACTTTAATCTGGTGCTGGCCTACTTGGACACAGACATCACGGACATATCCACAGCGGCCGCAGAGTGCAAGACCCAACAACAGCAGCAGTCACAGCACACGGTGGTGAGGGGTTCAATCCGGCTTAAATATTGTTCGAATCTCATTCCCCTTTGCCCTCGCAGGATGCCAACAATGATGCCAAGTACTTTCTGCTGTTCTACTACTATGGTGGCATGATCTATACGGCTGTGAAGAACTACGATCGTGCTTTGTATTTCTTTGAGGTGTGCATTACCACACCGGCCATGGCCATGTCGCACATTATGCTGGAGGCGTACAAAAAGTTTCTCATGGTTTCGCTCATCGTAGAGGGCAATGTAAGTGGCAGCGAGCGAGTGAGCTTTGTGCAGACTAATCTTTATTTATCCTGCTTGTATTTACAGATAGCGTTTATACCAAAAAACACACAGGTTATTGGCCGCTTTATGAAGCCAATGGCCAGTCACTATCACGATTTGGTGAGTGTTTACGCAAATTCCTCCAGCGAGGAGCTGCGCATTCTCATACTCAAGTACAGTGAAGCATTTACGCGTGATAGCAACATGGGTCTAGCCAAGCAGGCAAGTGGAACGATCGAATAAGTATAATATTCTATTAAATGAATCTCTTTTTGTGTGTCTGCTTAGGTGGCAACCTCCTTGTACAAGCGAAACATAAAGCGTCTGACAAAAACCTTCTTGACGCTCTCCCTAAGCGATGTGGCCAGTCGTGTGCAGCTGTCCGGTGCAGCCGAAGCAGAGCGCTACATACTGAATATGGTGAGTGCTAAAGGAGAATGTTTCGGCAGTCATAACCCTTCCATGCTCCACTCTGTCCACAGATCAAATCGGGCGAAATCTACGCCAGCATCAATCAAAAGGATGGCATGGTTTTGTTCAAGGATGATCCCGAGAAATACAACTCACCGGACATGTTCCTAAATGTGCAAACGAACATAACGCAGGTGCTGGATCTAGTTAAACAAATCAATAAAATGGAAGAGGAAATCATATTGAATCCAATGGTAGGTCAGGCTCAGAACAAAATGCCTTTATGTACCCTCTAAACTGAACTTTGAACTGCATTATTTTTGGTAGTATGTAAAAAAAGCTTTGGGCAGCCAGGATGATGATTTAACGTCGCAGCATCCAAAGACCTATTCAGGGTAAGCTGGGAAAAAGGTTCCTAAAAGGATTTTTTGTTCATTTGTATACTTTCTGCTATAGCGATCCCACAGATTGATGTTACCACCGTAGCAGCAGCAGCAACAGCAGCACAGCATCCCCCCAACAGCAATTGGCCAACCAGTTGACTGCCATTTAAATCTATGCTTTCTTCAGAAATCAATCCACTCACTTCAAGCATAGGCCCTGGGCCACTCACATCCATTAGCTATCGTCAATGCAACAACAACAACTGATACTGCGCTCTAACAACAACATTTATAGATGAACATTGCTATTTTAAATAAACTATGTATAAATCTATGACTAAGTACCTGTCCCTTATCACTCGCTGCCTATTGATTGTGTTTGACTCACAAGTTATTTGGATAGATAGGCAGGCAGCGTTACGCTTCTAAAAACGATAAGGTTTTGGGGGGCATTATATTCGATCAGGCGACGTTTACGACGAGTTCAATTACTCTGCACTTGGCTGGCGATCTTAATTGCTGCTTACTTGATGCTCAAAGTCGTTTATTTATGTACATTGTAATGGATATGTAACCTAACCTTAGGACAACAATAAGAATGTTTAATTGACTAGAGACTGCCTGTAGTGGCAGTGGCTTATGGCTAATTGCGTTAGTTTATATTAGGATACGTTTGTATGTGTGTATGTGTGTGTGCAGTACGTGGGTGTACCGCCAGCTGTCTCCCGCGAGCATTCTGTCGCTGAGATTCTCCCGCGACGCGCCGCACCACGCTCGCTCCAACTCTCCAAGTGTTTAACCGGTTTTCAGTGGGTCTATCTCCGCTATGGAGGTCTTCAGCTGCTGTGTAGAAATCGTACTCGTTATGGGCTCAACGCTGTTGATGCTGCGATAAAGCTTGTGGACCACATTGACCAATATGAAGCACAGAATGAGCACCAGCAGCGACATGAATGCATATGCCAGCACCAAAGGGGCGTCCGAAATGGGATCCAACATGTTGATTCGTCTTCTCTATTTCTTTCTTTCGTTGCTTTATAATTTATTTAATGATACTTTGTACTTTATAGTAACCAGAATGTGCAAGTCTCGTATATATTTTGACAGTGATACCAAAGGCAAATGTACAAACGAACAGAGAGAGAGAGAGCTGAACGAACGTCAAACCGAAACCGAAACAGAACTGAAAAACGCGTATGCTAATTAAGTATCATATATTTATATGGTGGGGTGCTGCTGCTGCTGCTGCTACTCTGTTGTGCCGCGCGTCGTTTGGTTTTGTGTGTGCGTCGCTTGACACCTGCCTGAGAACTGAATCGAGCGAATCGAGTTAAATGAATGGAACTTTGTTTGCCATTACGTATACGATTCGTTTACCCAGATTGTTTGTCGTCGTGTGTTGTAGAGACTGTTGCGCTCCATCGTCTGTGTCTGCTAGTAGTTTTATTTTGTTATTTTTGTGTTGATAAGCGGCTTGTGCAATCCATAGAAGTAAAAGTACCGCGCGATTAGACAAGTTTCAGGCGCTTTCCCTTTGACAAGGGCTCAAATCTGTACGAGAGACACAGACTTGTACTCGAATAATTCATAGAATTCCAGAGTCGTCGTCGCACTCGCGCTCTCTCGTGCATTGCAATCAAATCAGCAGCGCCAGCGCCGCCTTCTTAATTGGTTGCCTCAATAAAGAATGAAATGGCGTCTAGCAAATTGCTTGGGGTCTCTGGATGATTCTGAATGTTCATGGCGGTGGTGGTGGTGGGGCGATGTTCCACTTGTGATTTGGCCATAAAGTGCGATAAGAGAAGAACCTCTTTATCTACTGATAACATTTTCCACGCACTCACAATGATAAGCCGCCCCAGACTTAGGGACATTGACAGAGACAAGTACATTCCCCTCCAACTGGAGACGAACCCTTTCCCTTTGCCGGTCACGCGATTCTAATAGACGAGCGACCCACTGGCCGTACGACCCTGAAACCAAAACAACGAGAGAGAGAGGCCTATGAATAGAGTCGACTCTGTAGAGTATTCCACGACGACTCCACTTTAATCGCATGCACGACAGCCAGCCAGCCAGCCAGCCAGCCAAACGAGTTCTACAAAAAATCAAAAAATGAAAACCTAATTATAGATGCATTCCCCCCTCTCGATCGCACATTCCTCAGTTCCTCATTCCATTGACTGCCGACGTTGATGTGGGCTCGGCGGATTGCAAGCAGTGCTACTGTCCACCTCCGGTGGGGCGTGCTCTGGATAAGTTCTCCTTCCCCGCATAATATTGTCCAGCGTGATGCGAATGCTGCTCTCCTGCCGCAGCATGCTGAGCATGGGTCTCTGGTTGCACTTGAGCATGAATTTGAGACGCGGAATCTTGTGGAGTTGATCGTAGTAGCGGATTATGCGTACGGCATCGGGTGGGCGTTTCAGGACAGCCGCACATGCGGCCGCCTCGTGGTCACAGCTGCACAGAAAGGTAACAGAACGATGGCTGGGACACATGTCGCACTCAATGCCCACCAGATAGCAGGGCTCCAGATTCACAGCAATTCGCACTGTAAGCAAGCAGAAGCAGAACGAGGATAGTGTTCCAGTTTGTAGAGTCCTGTCTGCACCTCTTACCCGTCGTCGGTTGGATGAAGTGCGAGCGTGAGCTGGCCACATGCGGCGCCGAGCGTTGAGTACGCACCGGCGAGTTGATGTAGCCTCGCATGTCCACGCTGTCCATGGAGCCGTGATTCACGGCCAGCGGCAGATTATCGTAAATGGAGATGTAAATCTTGTGACTGATGTACACCACAATGAAGCACAGAATGCAGATGAGCAGCAAGATCAAGCCGTAGGTGAATAGTGTGGGTATCAGAAAGATGGCGTCCAGCAACATTGAAAGCGGCAGGCTGCCTGACATAAAACTCAAAAATATATACAGAACGGGGTTGGGTTGGGTATGCGGAGTGGGGTTGGGTAGGCAGTGGAGGGGACTTCAAGATGGGAATAGAACAGGACACTCTGCCACTTGGCTTCTCTTTTCTTTGATTTTTGCAACATCTATGTAAATGTATTTATTTTTCTTATAATGCTTGTTGTATTTTTTTTGTGTTTAATTTTTTATGCTTGTTGTTTTTGCTTTGTTCTCTGTTCATTTCTTTGTCAGTATGTGTGTTTTTTTGTTGTTGTTGTTGTTGTTTCAGTTTTAGTTTTTCCTTTGTTTTCGGCATATACAATACGATTTTACATTGATAATTTTTGTTAGTTTTTTTTTAATTGTTTTACTTTTTTCCTATCCAATCTCGCTCTCTCTGTCTCTCTCTCTTTATCTATGTGCTGTTAAGTTTAGTTTTTATGCATTGCTGTTGCTCTGTGAACATTTTGAAGCCTAACCCGCCGGCGGGTACGCGGTATAAATTCTCAATGCCCCACCTGGGGGGCTCTTAAGTATACCCTAGGCATTATTCAAACCCATTTGCTTTTGCTCTTCGTATTAGTGTGTGTGTGTGTGTATGTGTGCGTGTGCGTGTGTTGGTGAGAGTGGTGCAGCAACAGCTGTAGATAATGTGCCATGGATCCAGCAAGCAGATTTTTATATACACAAATGTCGGCTGTTGTATGAATGTTTTTTTTTAGCGTAAATGCAACTTCTCTTCTCTTTTTTCTCTTATTTTTTTCTGATGGTGACATGAGAAACGCACACACGCACACACACGTATTTATACTCTGCTGCACACACACACCACGAATTTTTGTAATTTTTTCAACATAATAATCTTATATTTAAATTTATTTTGGCAGCTGTTGACTGCCACCAAAATGCAGTAAATATTACGCTTCTGTGTGTGTGCATATAACAGAGCAGAACACTGTGCTAATTGGTATAACTTTTTGCAAAACATTGAGCCAAAAGCTTAAATTAGTGTTTGGGGTTTAACAAAAATAATTAAAATAATAATAATATAACTAAAAACTAACAACAAAGAATTGAGGAATAAAATCGGGGCAATTTTTTCTTAGTTTTTTGTTTTGTTTTTAATTTTCATTAAATTAAATATTTTCATAGAATTTATCGACTTCATGCTGCTGGCCGTTAAATTAAAGAGTTTTAACAATAATTTACTTAAATTAAAAACGTTTCAGAAATTGTTGCACTTTTTCCTACATGACTTTGCTTTCCCCTTACCCCAGCTCTCTCCAGCAATCCGTATGTATGAGTGTGTGTGAGTGTATGTGTGGGTGTAAGTATGTCTATATTTTTCCTTAATACACACATTTAATTTTTATATTTTTGTTTTAATTTGTTTGCTCAAAAACATTCAGACATCTTTTTTGAATATTCAATGAAACTTTTTTTCTTGCGTTTCTTTTGGTTTTTTTACTTGCTTTTCTTTTGGTTTTTTCATAACTTTCTTTTGTTTTTTTTTTTTGGGTGGCAGCATGTTCCATTTGTTAGACAAATAGATTTAGAAACAGACTCTTTCTTCATGGAGAAATGTGTAGAGAAAATTGAGCTTCAGAAGTAGTGGGGAAAAATGAAAGCGAAAAAGAAATACTAGAGCTCCAGTGGCGTAGGGGGAACATGCCGCCGCATATCTGTGCACAGAGAACACACACACATGAGAATAGTAGTAGTATATGGTAAAACTTTCAGCACAACATACAGAATCATATTTAATTAACATAGTTTTGTCTCCCCAATAACTCTCCATCCCTTTTGGGCTGCAGCATGGCTGGCAATTAACTTTACAGAATTTTTGCTGCAGATTCCTTTAGTGTCTCTTCAGCTGGTTGATGTTGTTGATGCTGTTCGCTGCGTTGTTGGTTGTTGCTATGGTGTGCTTTATGCTGCTGCTTCTGCTGTTTGTCCTTAATTTAGACAGACAACGAGACGAAGCTGTTGTACTGCGTTATGTTGCGTTTGAGTATGTCTGCGCAGGGTCCCAAAACGCGCTCAAATCTGCAAGAAAAATTCCAAATCAATTACAAATTAAACAAAGTCTTGACTGATGTTCCTTTTACGCACCTCGCACGATCCAGTTTGACGCATTTGAGTGGCCCGCGTGCCACCACAGTGGCCGCACGTGGACGATCCAACAGCAGAGCAATCTCACCAAAGTAATCGCTCGAGCCCAGGCGACCCACCTCAGCAGGATCTTCGCCCTGCTAAAAAATATGAATATGATTACAACAATTTTCCTTAATGATATCCTAGCACTACTCTCACCTCTGATCGCTGCTGCAGCACCACCGCACAGCCCTCGAGAATGATGTAAAAGTCATCGCCCGCAGCACCCTGCTTCACAATCGTTTCACCATCGTCAAAGGAGCATGTCTCCAGTGAGTCGGCCACAGTGAGGCGCTCCCACTTGTCCAGGCTCTCCAGTATAGAGACACGCGACAAGAACTCTTCGTACATTTTGCGCTTGCGTATGGTGGAGCCCATGAGAATGCGTCTGTAGGAGTCACGATCGATGCCCCACAGCTTCACGTCGCTCTTGGCACGCACGGTGGCAGCCCGAGGTGTGCCATAGATCAAGGCCAGCTCGCCAAAGCTGCCGCCCTCGCTGATGGTGGTCACCAGCTCAGAGTTGACAAAGACCTGGGAGGGAGAACGAATGATTATGAAAGGACTATGATGGGATCTTTCGCTGCTACTCACATCAACCTCTCCCACATCGATGACATAGAAATTGTCGCCCTCATCGCCCTGCTGGATTATGTTCTCGCCGGCTATGTGATTGACGGGGAACATTGCATCGAATATGTCCGAGCGTTCGCTCTCATCCAAATGGGCAAAGAGCACGTTTTTGGCAATGGCCTTGGACAGGGAATTCATTGTCTTGTAGTCCTTTGGCACCACCTTCTTCACATAATTGCTGGCATCCTCCTCGGTGACGGGCTCCGCAGAGATGCCGCCGCGCCTGCGCACCGGTGGGGCAGCTGTTTGTGGCATTGGGCTGAGATCGTCACAGTCGTCTGGGCTAATGACCTGTTTACTGGCATCCAGTTTGACTTGTTCCTGCAAGGCACACATACGGAAAGAGAGAATTTATCTTTAGTATCACGTCATATCGGGCTTATTATCTTATTAGTTTTATATTATGTGAAGCTTTATCAGTGATTTACGTAGTTTATGGCTGTCATAAAAATGCGTACATAATGTTGACAAAGGGTTTAGCATATTTTGTAGTTATAATATTAAAAGTGAGGCATAGAAATATCTACTATTAGATTTATCTTAAACATGCGATGGGTGCGCTTTTTCCTATCAGCTAGAATCGAGTCTGAGCAACGTCACACGCTCTGTGTGTATTTTTTTGTGCTAATCTAGGGGTTGTGTACTTAGTTATTGCATTTTTTGATATTTCTCTTTTATTTCCCCGTTGCCTGGTGAAGAATAAATGGAAGCAAAGGCAGGTCACAGGCTCATATAATTTTTATTTTTAATTTATGTAAATATTTACATTCAAAATACACTTCAAATCTTTGTTTAATTGTTTACCCCATAAAATGACTTCCTACCTGCAAACATTAACTGCTAATGTACCAACAATTCCCTGTAGATTTAATCATATTAACAAATGAATATAACTATAATTATAATTATTATTGTTGAAGGCGCCGCATGGTGATTGTAATTGAAATAAACATTTGTTCGCTCGCTCATAGACTGCCAAGAAACACGACATTACAGCAGATTGAAGGCTTTCCTAAAGTATAATATAAAGGGTAATCGGTAGCTCTACAAACAAATAAAAACAAAGCAAAAAAGAATTCAAAGAAAAAGTCATGAAAAAAACAAATTAAAACTAATCCTTTATTTCCATTTCCATAAAAGTTCTCCCTTTGGCCTTCCCGTTTCTACTTTTCCAGTAGCTGCTCTACTTATACAAATATGTATAACCATTTGTCAGTTTACAGGATTTACCAACTATATCGCTTGAATCCTGCAACTCCCACACACAGTTTTGAGCCCGAAAGTGCGTCATTCGCATTGGGCGTGGAGTCGAGGCGTACAGAAACTGCAATCAGGAGTGTGCCCTGAGCCCTTTCTGAGAAATATGTAATACATTATTCAAATGTCAAAAGGCAGATGCACGGAACCCGGAAAAGCTCCACGCGCTGCCACCCCCCCACCCGCTCGCACACGCGAAAGTCATTAAGCTCTCGCCTCGCCTCGCCTCGCCACCATCATCATCATCATCCTTAGGAAGGCAGTTGAAAGCTGAAGAGCTTTGCATTGTGACTTCTTGTGCACGGTGTCTGTGGGAGTCCTGCCAGGCGTCTTAACTTCTTATTCAAATTAAGACACCCACATGTAGCTGTCCAGCTCCCAAAAGTGCAGTGCACGAGGCGACTGTGACTGTCGGGGATGACGTCAAAGCAGCTAGACAACCAGCCAGGCAGAACCCTGACCAGCAGCTGCCCCAAGTTACATGATTAAGTTGCATTAAACCGTCACTCAACTGTGGCGACTGCAAGTGGCGGCCAGTTGTCAGTTTTAGTTGCATTTTCCATACAGACTAAAAATAGCTTAAACACAATTCACAAATGCAAATTTCGTGGCATTATTTAATGAGGGAATAAGGAACTGCATATTGGAGGCATAAGTAGGGTTAGAAGGGTCTCCAGGAAGCTTCTTTAAGACGGTAATATCTGAGTTTTAGAATGGGGTTTCTGTCATTTTAAAATGCAATTAAATTGCAGATAAATCTAAGAGAAACCTCGAACTCGAGAGTTGTTTGCAAATTCCACGATAAATCCTACAAATTCCCATAGAAATAATTGTATTTCCTGTTTCCAAGAACATAAAATAATTTAAGAACTATTTAAAGATTTTTCATGAATTTTCCTTGATTTATTTTGCAAACTTTTATGTCTGTAGCAAGCAAAATTTATTTAGCAAAACTTCTGAGTCCAAAGCAAGCAAATTATTTACCCAAAAATACACCCAAAACCACCCACAAAAAG